ACCTGGGAGGCAGAGGTTGCGGTGAGCTGAGATAGCGCCACTGCACTCCAGCCTGGGCAACAAGAGCAAAACTCCATTTCAAAAAAAAAAAAAAAGAAAAAGAAAGGGCTATGAATTTGGAGCCAAATTAGCCCAGAGACACTGAACAGTGATACTAAGAGCAAGAAATTGAAGGTCTTAGAGATTTGGAGGAGGAGAGAATTAGAAGGCAATGGAGGTCTAGGGTGGTGGCTCCCATCTGTAGTCCCAGCACTTTGGGAAGCTGAGGCAGGCAGATCGCTGAGCTGAGCCCAGGAGTTTGAGAACAGCCTGGGCAACATGGCGAAGCCCTGTCTCTACAAAAAATTTTAAAAATTAGCCGAGTGTGGTGGTGTGTGCCTGTGGTCCCAGCTGCTCAGGAGGCTGAGGTGGGAGGATGGCTTCAGCCTGGGAGGCAGAGGTTGCAGTGAGCCGTGAATATGTCACTGCACTTCAGCCTGGGTGACAAAATGCGACCCCCCCCCCCCCGTCTCAAAAAGAGAGAGAAGGCAATAGAGGCATGAGAGGTTTTGAAGAGATACCAAGGAGCTGGGTTCTGAAGAATTTGTAACTCCAGGGATCTTGTGAGGAAGCCAGAACGAGGCAACTGGGGGCAAGCACTGAGAAAACCTGGGGGATGTGGCCCTGTGGAGTGGAGGAAGGGATCAGTACCTGTGCGTGGAATTGTTTGCAGCTGGGGGTGCAGCCCGTCCAGTCAGAGGCCCATGCTGTCCCAGGCGAAGCCCCTGAACTCGGCCTAGCCCCAGGCTGTGGAGAAGCCGCGCCAAGCCCCCTGCAGTCAGCGTCCCATTCTCTCCATACAGGCCAAACAGCTGGGCCAGGTAATGGTTCTGCTCCTGCTCAGCAGGGCCCAGGTTGGGGACTGAGCCCCCTACCCAGCCCAAGATGACCCACACACAGAAGCCGGCCAGCAGATGACTCACTGGGGACCCCATCATTGGTGACGGGAATGGCTTAGGGTCTCAGGTTCTGGCTCCTATTCTCCCCGAAACATCATGAGGACTGTGCCCTGGAAGAAGAACGAATGGGCTGGAGTTGCTGCTCTGCTCTCCAGCTCGGGTCCCTGGGGGAGCCAGAGCTCCTTACACCTGTTCCCCACCGAGTCCAGCAGCAGCCCCTACTGCAGCCTTCTTTCTCCCTTCACACTGCCTTCTTCGGGAGCAGCCTCTTGTTTGCCGGTTCCTAGAGCACCTCCCTGACTCGGAGCTCTCCCCATACTTCATCCAGAGCTGACTGTCCATTCCTTGTCCCCTAAACCCCACCCCTCAACTTTGCCCCACCTCTTTATCCCCCCTCAATCCCCAGGGCCTCACCCCTACTGGCAATGTGAGAGCTGTCACCTCAGGTCCCTTGTTAGACCTTGCCGTTGATGTTAAGCAGTTCCTGAGTCAGGGAGGGGGGAGTCCAGGCTTAGCCTCCAGGTGTCCAGGTGGATCGGAGGCCACGTCACATAGAAGGCTAAGATGCACACGCACCCCCTCCTAGCCCACCTGCCTTGGGGCGGGGTCAGGGGTGGGGCCAGTGTGTGAAGGCTCACATAAGAGAGGAGTTAATGGTTCACTGGTCTCTGGGGTGGGGGTCAAAGGTCAGTCTCTGCTGGGCCCCTGAGTAGGGAGGGGCCACCCTCTGCCCTGGGAAAGCCACATGGCTAAGGAGAACCTGGGCCTAGTCTTTTTCCTCTTAAATAATTTACCCCATCCTTAACACAGTTAGTACCATTTTAGCCCTTTCCCGCATGTACTTCCACCCCACCTACCTTACATCTGGCACTAAACTTCATCTCCAACCCCTATCCCCATATACCTTGGGAAGGTTGGACCCAGGTGTCCCTAACCTGGGGAAGAGGGGGAAAAGGCAGATCAGTGGCAAGCCCAGATGCATGCATGGGAAATAAACTGTTCTTAGCAATTTCTCACCCCAAGAAGAGAAAAGCCAGAGCTCTAGGGATCAATGACCAAGAAAGGGGAAGCCCTGTAGGGGAGAGGAAACAAGGATCTGGGCTCCCCTCTGATGTCTGACCTGGCCTAAAATCAGGCAAGCGAAGTCTGATAGGGGTGACTGGTCCAGGGGGTTGAGGTTGGCATTACCTGATCGCAGGAGACAAGGACACCCAGAGGAAGGGGGACACAGCCTTCTTGGTTCCAGCTGGGGGGGTAGGCAGGCAGGCGGGCAAGGGTCACCTGCAGGGAGGGGGTAGGGGAGGGACACTACCTTAAAGGGGCAGGTCTGCTTTGCCTAGGCCTCCTTACCTGTAACCTATCTTCCTTCCACCTTCTACAGACACCCCACCTTCCCAAATGCCTAGTTGCTAACCTCTTCCTTTTCCCACAAAAAGTAAAGGAGTCCAACACAGAGTAGAGTGGTAACATTTATTAGGAAGGAGAGATTTCAGTTAGACTCCCATGTCTCACACAGAAGAAACAGATGGTAACTGCCATTTCTTTCTTTCTTTTCTTTTTTTTTTGAGATGGGAATTTCTCTCTTGTTGCCCAGGCTGGAGTGCAATGGTGCAATTTCGGCTCACCACAACCTCCGCCTCCCGGGTTCAAGCGAGTCTCCTGCCTCAGCCTCCCGAGTAGCTGGGATTACAGGCATACACCACCACGCCTGGCTAATTTTGTACTTTTACTAGAGATGGGGTTTCTCCATGTTGGTCAGGCTGGTCTCGAACTCCCGACCTCAGGTGATCCGCCCACCTCGGCCTCCCAAAGTGCTGGGATTACAGGCGTGAGCCACCGCGCCCAGCCAGTAACTGCCATTTCTAAAGAGGAAAGAGAGCAGGCAGAGGGTCCTGACTCCCAGGGGACAGCTAGTTCAGCTGGACAACGAGGGAGTATGAGATTAGGGTAGATAAGAACACTGCTCACCACCCCTCCACTGAAGTTCAGTGGCTAAAACACTGCTACACCAGCCAGCCAGTGGAAGGCTATCTTGCTCTCCAGGAGACACTTGGGATGTGGTTGGTGGCAGGAAGAAAGAATGTCATGCTATCTTTTGCTGCTCCTCCGGGTTTCTTTGCCGTTACTAACAGGGTTGCTGGAAGGGCCAGGTGGGCCTGCAGGTGTGTGGTTGGGCTGGCTTCGAGTGATTCGGGTGCTGGGCGGGTGGGAGGGAGTATGAGGGGGATGTGGGCCACCACCAGGACCTGTTGGGGCACTCAGTCCATTCCCATTCTGGCTCTCAGAGGCTAGTTGTGGGAGGAGAAGAAACAAAGGAATTAGTTAACAAAGGAGAGGGGTCCATCTCAAGGCCTGCCTCCATGCCCCAAAGAGTGGCACAGTCTTCACCATGCACAACTGCGTCTTAATGCCAATTCGACCAAATGCAAAAGACTGTGGGCTGCAAATATGAACGGAGCTCCAGAGAAGACTCACACGATCATTTGGGAAGTTGCTACATGAACCTCGGTATATTTTTCTCTCGTATTTATCTCACTATTATTGGGAATCAGACCTAGAATTAGCTGTTTAGTTCTAGGCTCAAGGATCTCTGACAAAAATGTCCCTTTACTGGGTCAGGCGCGGTGGCTCACGCCTGTAATCTCAGTATTTTGGGAGGCCGAGGTGGGTGGATCACGGGGTCAGGCATTCGAGACCAGCCTGGCCAACATAGTGAAACCCCGTCTCTACTGAAAATACAAAAATTTAGCTGGGTGTGCTGGCGGGCGCCTGTAATTCCAGCTACTCAGGAGGCTGAGGCAGGAGAGTCGCCTAAACCTGGGAGGTGGAGGTTGCAGTGAGCCAAGATTGCGCCATTGCACTCCAGCCCTGGCGACAGTGCAAGACTCCATCTGAATTAAACAACAACAACAAAAAAAAAGCCCTTTTACCAAAAGTGATTATAAAACTGGAGAAGCATGGCAAGGGGAAGGGCCTGAAGTCTCTGCGTTAAAATATGAGACACTTAAAAAAAAAGGTGTGTATGTGTGTACCATAATGATAATGTTCATTTTAGAAAATATAGATAAGCATAAGTGAAAAGATTATTACACATAATCTTACCCACCAAAGATAATAACAAGTCACATTTTTGTGTATATAAGTTTTTATTTTTAAATTTTTACTGTTTTAGAGATGAGGTCTCACTTTGTCACCCAGGCTTAGTGCAGTGGTGTGATCATAGCTCACTGCAGCCTCAAACTCCTTGCTCAAGCAATGCTCCTGCCTCAGCCTCCCAAGTAGCTAGGACGATGGGTGTGTACCACTGCATCTGGCTTAAATTTTCAATGTTTGACTGAAGCCAGGTGTGTGGGATGATTTCTTTGAGCTCTCATAATTCTGGACATACCACTATCATTGAACTTAACCATGGCGTATTATAATCATTATCTCTCTCCTGTGGTTTATGCAGGTAGTGTGTTTTATTCTGTGGCAAATAGAAGGTGCTCTAGAAACATTTGTTACATGAAGGCATAGGCTTGCTTCTTGCATACAGTAGGGCACTATGAACCCTAAATAGCATGGAAGTTATAGCCTAGTGGTTCTTTTTTTTTTTTGAGAAACAGTCTCACTGTTGCCCAGGCTGGAATGCAGTGGCATGATCTCAGCTCACTGCAACCTCCGCTTCCCAGGTTCAAGCTATTCTCCTGCCTCAGCCTCCCAAGTAGCTGGGATTACAGGCTCCTGCCACCACATCTGGCTAATTTTTGTATTTTTAATAGAGATGGGGTTTCGCCATGTTGGCCATGGCTGGTCTTGAACTCCTGACCTCAGGTGATCTGCCTGCCTTGGCCTCCCAAAGTGCTGGGATTACAGGCGTGAGCCACTGTGCCCGGCCAACCCAGTGGTTCTTAAACCATATCTCTACTGAACCCTGCTGCTCCACTGGACTAAGATATCTGCAGCCCATGGCTGGGTGTGGTGCTCATGCCTATAATCCCAGCACTTTTTTTTTCCCAGCCAAGGCAGGCAGATCACCTGAGGTCAGGAGTTCAAAACCAGCCTGGCCATCATGGTGAAACCCTGTCTCTACAAAAATTAGCCAGGCATGATGGCAGGTGCCTGTAATCCCAGCTACTCAGGAGGCTGAGGCAGGAGAATTGCTTGAACCCAGGAGGCAGAGGTTGCAGTGAGCCAAGGTCACGTAATTGCACTCCAGCCTGGGTGACACAGACTCCATCTTAAAAAAAAAAAAATTAGCTGGCCATGGTGGCAGGTGCCTGTAATCCCAGCTACTTGGGAGGCTGAGGCAGGAGAATCACTTGAGGCGGAGGTTGCAGTAAGCTGAGATTGCGGCATTGCACTCCAGCCTGGTCGACAAGAGCGAGACTTAGTCTCAAAAAAAAAAAAAAAGAGGGGTCTGGGAGAATTGGGTGAAGGAGGATATATCGAGAAAAGAGAGCTTTGGAAAAGGAATGAGGGAAATGCATCTTTCTAGGCTGAGCAGAGTGGGAGAGTTAGGAGGACCAGTGGATGGAAGGGAACAGATTTACCTGGAGAAGCAGCAGAGGGTCCAGTGGTAGGCTGGGAAGCTGAAGGGTTGCTGTCGTTCTGCACCTGAAGGCACAGATTACGTATTCAGATCCTGCTCCCTCCCATGCTTCTTGTCTTGATCTGCCCTCTTTTCCCACCATTGTGGCCACAGGACTTACCGCCTTGTTGGGTGTCTGCTGGGTGCTGTACTCTGGATTTGGCTCACTGAAGTTAGGAACCTCAGAATAAACCATACAGAATCTGCAAGGGGAGAAAGTAGCTAAAGCCTTGGATTCATCCTCTGGGCCACTGCTGGAGGCCTCAGAAAAGTCCCGATAGGTTGGACGTGGTCACTCACATCTCCCAAAGTATGGATTACTCCCAAAGTAATCCTAGCACTTTGGGAGGCAGAAGTGGGAGGATCGCTTTAGCCCACGAGTTTGGGACCAGCCTGGGCAACATGGCGAAACCCCGTCTCTATAAAAAATACAAAAAAATTAGCTGGGTGTGGTGAAGCACGCCTGTAGTCTCAGCTACTTGGGAGGCTGACGTGGGAGGATCACCTGACCCTGGGAGGTCAAGGCTACTGTGAGCCGGGATCATGCCACTGCACTCCAGCCTGGGCGACAGAGACTGTTTCTCAAGAAAAACAACAACAACAGAGAAAGTCCAGAAATAAGGCTTGGAGTACACACCCTATGCTGCCTCCTTGCAAACCCCTTTGCCCTGGTGCTTCTTCGTCCCAATCCCCAAGATAGCACTTACTCTCCAATCTTCTGCAGATCACCCCCACGGCCAGTATATAGTGTCAGACAACCTTTGAAAACTGAAGCGTACCTACGGGAGCAAAAAAAGCAAAATTCAGAGTACTCAGAAGTGTTATAGGGACTGTTAACCCCACTCTTGATTGTTGTTGCCTTTGGAAGGCCAGAAGTCACCAGCTGGCTTACCCTTTGGTGAGCCGGATAATGTCCCCAGGCTGGATCAGATTGCCGACATCGTCCCAGACAGAGATATTGATGCTGCCTGTTTTGTCCGCCACTTTGCAGGTCCGAACCTCATGCCCGTCCTTTGTCTTGGTCACTCGGCCTGAACAGAACAGATAAATCGAGGTGGGAGGATGGTCAAATAAATGGGGTGGTAGCTGTCAGAAGGATGAGATGTAGATATTGGTGGAATGAGGGAAAAGGTGTACAAACAGGGGAAAGGCCAAATCCCTGGGGCATAAGGGGTTGGGATTGTGGAAGGGGTGGTGCTGGGGGTGGAGGTGGGAGTTCAGGGGCCAGCACCATGGAGAGGGCCCTGAGTGGAAAGAGGCCCGCGTGGCACAGGAGGTCTAGATCTGGCAAGAGTTCTATCTACCCTATACCTGACTGCAACTTTCTGTCCCAGGGTCGAAGAGAGAGATTGGGAGTGAGGAGTGTCTTGCAGCTTGACTTGCCATCCCCATAGCAAGTTAAGAAAGCAGATAGCGTTCTTCCCCTCCTGCCCCCCACCCCAATCCCGGGAACCCGCCACCCCAGTATAGACACCTGTCTCCAGCACAATGAAGATGAGGTTCAGATTCTTGAGCCCAGGCTTGATATCCTTCACAAAGGTCTCCGTCGTCATGCTGCCCGAGCCTCGGCACCCCACTGGATGGGGAATAAGGGATGAAGGCTCAATGCTTGAATCCTTTGCCCCCATGCTCCACTTCCCAAGGCCTACCTACCCCATTAGGCCGGGGTCAGGCAGCCTCAACCCCTCTAACGCTTCTAAAAGATTTAAAAAGAACATCCCCGGAGGCCTCCAACTTCAAGATCAGAATTTGGGGGTCTCTGGACAGGCTGCTTTGGGGCTGGAAGGCCCCCTGCCGGGATGCTCTTTTAGTCTCAAGCCCTGAAGTGGCGGAGCCGCCGGAGACAGGAGTAGGGAACCCGGTGCAGAGCCAGGGAGTAGAATCTTACTGGCCAGACCTTCCCGAACCCTCATCTCGACAACCCGGGACTCGCTCCATGCCCTCCCCTGCCCGCCGCCCACCACCCACCCAGCCAGCCGGCAGGACTGTGCACGCCGCTGAGCAGCCCGCAGGGGGAGCCACAGGCTCCGCTGCCGCCGGATGCTGCCCGGTGGAACGCGGGAGTGCGGCCATTCCCGGAAGTTTCCCCCGGCTGGCCTCCTCCGGCCAATCAGCACCGCCCGGGCGCGCCCTGCGTCCCGCCGCCTGCCCTGCCCAGCCAATCGGGATCAGAGACTCGTGCGCCGCGAAGGGGGCGAATTTCAGGTATTAAAGGAACCTTGGAGATCGTTGGCTCTGCAGGGGGAAAGATCCACCACTAGAGGGCGCACAGGGCCCTAATTTTTTTTAACTTGGCTGGGGAGAATGCACTTAGGCTCTAAGACGTTTGTTAGGCTCTAAGAGTGACACAATGGGAAAAGGAGCAAGGGCTTCGGAATCTGGCGGACAAAAGTTTGAATCCTGGCTCAATGCTTCACTTCCTTTCTCGACTATTTAAACATATGTAATTCCAATTCCGCTAGGCGCGGTGGTTCACGCCTGTAATCCCAGCACGTAAGGAGGCATAGGCTGGAGGATAGCATGAGTCCAGGAGTTCCAGACCTGCCTAGGAAATATAGCGAGACCCCATTCGCCACAAAAAGGGGAAAAAAAAGACAAAAAATATGTAATTCCATCTTACGAGAAAACGGAAGTTATATTTAAAAAAGTGCCTTGCACACAGTAGGCACACACGGTTTCCTCCCTTTTTATTGCTCTAACCCTTATCTTTGTTCCTGATTTGAGGTTCTCATCTTTAAGGCACTATCCAGCTTGGTCAAGGTCTCTGGGAAAAGTGGCATTTATACCAGAGACAAAAGGCAGGCTCACCCTTCTTGGAAGAGATGGAACCTGCGGCATAGAGGGAAATATTTGCTAGGCCCTCTTTTTTTTTTTTTTTTTGAAACAGAGTCTCCCTGTGTAACCCAGGTTGGAGTGTAGTGGTGCAATCTTGGCTCACTGCAACCTCTGCCTCCCTGGCTCAAGCGATCCTCCCACCACAGCCTCCGTAGTGGCTGGTACTACAGGTTCACACTACCATCCTCGGCTAATTTTTTTTTGTGTGTGTATATATATATATATATATATTTTTTTTTTTTTTGGTAGAGACAGAGTTTTGCCATGTTTCCCAGGCTGGTCTCAGACTCCTCAAGCGATCCGCCCACCTCGTCCTCCCAAAGTGCTAGGATTACAGGCGTGAGCCCTTGCACCTGCCCGCAAAGGAGTCTTGCTCTGTCGCCCAGGCTGGAGTTCAGTGGTGCCATCTCGGCTCACTGCAACCTCTGCCTCCCGCGTTCAAGCGATTCTCCTGTGTTAGCCTCCCTAGTAGCTGGGATTACAGGCACCTGCCACTACGCCCGGCTACTTTTTTTGTATTTTTAGTAGAGACGGGGTTTCACCATGTTGGCCAGCCTGGTCTCAAACTCCTGACCTCGCGATCCACCCGCCTCGGCCTCCCAAAGTGTTGGGATTAAAGGCGTGAACCACCGCGCCCGGCCATACTACTCTTACCTTACTTGATCGCAGAGTCCCTCTAGAGGACGGCAGAAAGGAGGCCTGAAACTTTAGTTCCTTTCGGGACCTGTCAAATTGTCCACAAAAGGTAGCTAGCTCTGTATTGTTGTGTATAAACAAATTACATAAAGATATGTGTGTGTGTGTATGCGTGTATTAATGTGCATTAGCATTTACTTAGCCAATGTCCACAATAAATACCATACTATTTAATACCAGATTAGCCTAGGAAGTCATGTAATTGTAATGCCTTGGTTTGTTTAATTAATCCCCTATCTTCTCATGGAGCTCTTTAGGCTCCACATTGACTTCCCTTGGATCCCAGATTCTCTACCGCCCACATCCCCAACACCACAGTGTGTAAGCTAAGGAAATCAAACCCCAACTCAGGAAGACGGAAATTTTTTCTCCCTTCCTTCCTTCCTCTTAGGTGTTTCAGGGAACTCCACAAGTGTTCGAGGAGCCATCGTGGATACGGCAGGAGAGCGCCTGGGAGACAGGCAGACAACCCATTGAGCACCCCAGATCTAAGCTTTGCGGTCAGACTCCCTCACTCCCCACCCCGCGGCCGCCTTGTTACGAAGCTCTAGGATGCTGACCAGGTCTCTGGAAAACGGAGAGGGGCCGGACCCGCAGCAGGTCACGCTGCAGGTCTGCCTCTCCGCAATGATCTCGCACCAATCTGCGTCAGCTCTAAGACACAAGTCACCTGCACCCCTCCAAAGCGAAGCGTGGCCGACCAGGCCCACGCGTTCTTGCCGGGAAGAACACAGAGTTCTCCCTCCCAAAGGACTATATAGTCCTGGCTAGGCCTATATAGACTCTAGCCTAGACTTCCGGTCTAGAGTGGAGGCCTGGCCAGCCTTCGTCCCTCCTGGTAGGCCGCTCGTGGCTGGTAGTGTAGGGGCTGAGTTAAACAAAGAGGCGGGGTTTGGTGACGAGCTTCCGCCGGGTTGCGTAGCAGCGGTGGGCGGGGCAAAGGATCCGTCTGAGAAGGCGACGAGTGGTCGGAGTCTTCTTTACCCTCCTTCCCCTTTCCCTTCCCTACCCGGGAGAGGCTAGGACCCGGCACCAGGGCACTACTGTGGCCGCTGCGGCCTCAGCTCCGACTGGGTCAGGTTGCGGAGACTCCAGGCCGCTTCCAGGGCGGTGCGTACTGCGCCTGCGCGATCTTCCACCTAAAAGAGGGTGTGGGAGGGGAGGAGGTGATGTCCCAGGGGTATTGGGGCGGGGGGCTGAAATACTGGGGTTCAGAAGGAGGGATGGTGGTAGAGATAAAAATGTGGGCAGGGAAGCAGCACGGGCGAGGAGTCGGGAGGTGAGAAGGGGGCCCTGGAGATTGGGCTGTTGGGGAAGGTCCGTTGGAATAGGGGAGCTTTGAGAAGTGCAGGAGCGGCCAGAGCTAGCTGGAGGACCGGCAGCCGCGGACCTGGGGGAACAGCGTGGTGTTTAAATGGGCAATGATTGACGGGCCGGAAGCGGAGGAAGGGAGCATTCCGGGGGCCAGGCTGGGCAGGGGCGGTGGAACCTAAACCCCCGCCCTCCAAGCGCCATAGCTTGGCTCCTCTCCCATGCCTTGTCTTTGGCAGCCTTGTCCTCTCATTCCTTCCCCACTCCTCACCCCCTCCCAGCCCTCCATGAAGGAATCTCACATTCTTCACATCCGTGCGCTTGGTTTGCAGCCTGGCTCTCTGACAGGTTTCACACACCACATACTGGAAGGCCTTCCCTAACTCAGGACTTCGGGAAATTGGGGAGTGGGGAGGAGGGGGCCAGAGGCAGAGCAGAAAGCCAGGAGGGGTGAGGGCGTTTTGCTTGAGGGATTGACAAACTGCTTCCCTATTCAGAAACTTCATTTCACCTAATAGCAAGTGGGGCTGTTAATGAGGCCACTGTTCTTAGGGACTGGCCCGTGATAGTGTTATCCTTTTCTATAGAGGGGTTTTAGAGTCTCACAATAGGGCGAGAGGCTGATAGTGTCGTTGGCTGATAGTTTTGCCCCAAATAAGAATGGAGTGGACTAGTGGTAGAGAATGTGAGTGATGCAGTGTTACTACCTTGCATGTCCAGCCGACCGACCTGTGGCTAGGCCTACCTTCTAGTAAAAAGAAGGAACAAGCTTCTTTCAAGCATTTCCTCTCCGACTCTCAGTACTCTAAATTTATTTTGCGTTATATATATTTTTTTAAGACGGAGTCTCACTCTTATCACCCAGGCTGGAGTGCAGTGGCACAATCTCGGCTCGCTGCAACCTCCTTCTGGATTCAAGCAATTCTCCTGCCTCAGCCTCCTGAATAGCTGGGATTACAGGCACCTGCCACCATGCCTGGCTAATTTTGTGTATTTTTAGTAGAGATGGGGTTTCACCATGTTGCCAGGCTGGTCTCAAACCCCTGACCTCAGCCTGGCACAGTGGCACACGCCTGTAATCCTAGTACTTTGGGAGGCCGAGGCGGGCAGATTGCCTGAGCTCAAGAGTTCGAGACCAGCCTGGGCAACACAGTGAAACCCCGTCTCTACTAAAAATATGAAAAATTAGCTGGGCATGGCTGTGTGCGCCTGTAGTCCCAGCTACTTGGGAAGCTGAGGCAGGAGAATTGCTTGAACCCGGGAGGCAGAGGTTCCTTTTCGTATAGAGGGTTGTAAGGAGTCATCACAATAGGGCGAGAGGCTACATAGTGTCGTTGGCTGATAGTTTTGCCCCAAAATAAGATGGAGTGGACTAGTGGTAGAGAATGTGAGTGATGCAGTGGTTACTACCTTGCATGTCCAGCCGACCGACCTGTGGCTAGGCCTACCTTCTAGTAAAAAGAAGGAACAAGCTTCGTTTCAAGCATTTCCTCTCGACTCTCAGTACTCTAAATTTATTTTGCGTTTATAATATTTTTTTAAGACGGAGTCTCACTCCTTATCACCCAGGCTGGAGTGCAGTGGCACAATCTCGGCTCGCTGCAACCTCCTTCTGGATTCAAGCAATCTCCTGCCTCAGCCTCCTGAATAGCTGGGATTACAGGCACCTGCCACCATGCTGGCTAATTTTGTGTATTTTAGTAGAGATGGGGTTTCACCATGTTGCCAGGCTGGTCTCAAACCCTGACCTTTCAGCCTGGCACAGTGGCACACCGCCTGTAATCCTACGTACTG